GGGGGGGGGGGGTGTAGCATGTTTATTCCAGGAGTGCTGTAGGCAAGTGATGCTGACGAGATCTCCGAGGAGCGGGGCTACTTGCTGGTCTTGGTTTCCTCTAGGGGGATCTGAAGGAGGGTGGGAGACTGTTCCATAATGCGCACCAGCAGCCGGTCAATGTAGTTTTCCAGCTCCTGGATGTGCTCCTCCTTCTTGCTCAGCTCCTTCTCCCTCTGCAGCAGCAGCTGGATGAGTTCATCGTGGGTCAGGTGATAATACTTGGCAGACTGGTCTGGCAAAGCAGGATCCTAAGGCAGGAGCAAACAGGAGAAGCCAGTGAGATGTGAAAGGTGACTAGCAAAACACAACCGCAGCCAAGACAGACTACATGTGCTGCAAGGTACAGCATAAGGCCATTATGGTAGTAACACCCTACAGCACTTTACAGCCACACTGGATCGGAAGGGACCACCTGAACAACTGAGTCTGGTCACCTGCTCTTACAGGCAGCTACATTATAATCCTATTAAAAAATTGATCATACCCTCTTTTAGGTTTAGGCAGAATGTTTGCCCCTGCTACTCCTACTGGAAAGCTGCTCTGTAATCTCCCTTCTCTGATGGTTAGAAGCCTTCTAATTCCCATCCTAAATGTATTATTATAGCCAGTGTGTATGTATTTATTCTTGTGCTAATAATGTCTAATAGCTTAAATAGTTCCTTTCCTACACTGGTGTTTTTTCATTGTTTTACTCTTCTATTGTATGGATGGATAGAGGGAGACTGTGCAGAGCAGACAGGGAGCATAGGGAAGAATCAGGAGCACAACCCAGATGGCAGTAACTCTTCCAGCCACAGTGAGGAGATCATGAGAAGGGAGAGAGAGGAAGTTGCAGCTAGCTGGATGCAGGGGAGCAGAATCATACAAGACCTGAGAACCAAGGGTGGAAGATATGGTTGTAAGCCAGACCCCCAGAAAAACAGGGAGCATTGCTAGGGTTGTCTGAGCACAGCATCTGAAGTGGGTGTATTCCTGTGAAATAGAGCAGCAAGCAACACTGTACACACAGCAGGTCTCAGGACACCAGGGGCAGGGAATGCAATAGCCTGGGGGAGAGGAAATGCTGGCATCCCATTGGGATGATGTATTTGTGCATATTCACAACACAGCACAAGGGCTTTTGATGTGCCCATCTCCACACCAAATTTTCGCAGGCCCTGCACTATGAAGAACTAAGGCACACGCAACACTTCAGGAAGCATCTGTCAGGAGACACAGCCCTTTCGATTTTCATTCAGAGTGAACTCGACACATCACTGACATCTTCCTCTCTGCAAAGTGTTCGGCTCTGACTAGATGGGAGAACTGCTGTGCTTGGCAGCAACCCCCTCAAACACACCAACTGCTCCACTTGGGCAGCTCTCTACGTGGAATCAGATGTAGCGCCTTCTCCAGATTAGGTAATCAGCCCCGGCAAGTGGAAGCACCAATCAGCTAGCCCCTGTGCTAATTAGCCCACCCAGAACTCCAGTGCTCCCAGTTTAGGAGGCAGTGCCTATGGAGCCGCATGTGGTACATGAAGACCTTGCTGCCTGGCATGGTCTGCTTACTGTGTAGACATGACCCTAGTTCAATTTTTGGGGCTCAAGTCACCTCTCACGGGCCTCGAGGCATCCCTCCATAACTTTTGTGAACTGAGTGGCACAGAGTTTACCTCTTTGCAGAGGGGCAGGCAGTAGGGGTAGAGGGTCAGCCAGGTAGGGACAAGCTTGAGCTTGTGCTTATCTGCTTATCTCACACCTTGGGACACCCTTCGAAGGAACTTGTGAAACCCCAAGCTGACAAGGCAGCCTGGTTGAGAATCACTGCTTAAGACATCCAGCTAAGCAGCCTTGTGAACTGTAAATCACGGCTTAGCAGGAGGCAACAAAATCAGAGGCTTGATCACGAAGCAGAAGGAAAAAGAGTGCATGCTCCCTCTGTCCAGGCTAGGATCCTGCCACGCACTTAGGATCAAGACTAGAGGTAGGACTACTGGGTAATAGCCGAAGCTCTGCTGATTCAGCCATCTAACAGCATCACGCAGACAAGCGTCACCTACTTCGGGGATAGCTACAGCTTCCATTTCAAGCACCTTTAAGTACTAATATGATAGAAGCAAACCAGTAGCTAAGGAGAATGAGAGTCAGTGGTGATGCACCTACCTTTAATTTCTTGTGCTCCGCCTTCTCTAGTTGCGTGGATGGGGCCACTGGTTGGATACTGCCCGTTGTCACGGTCTTCAGCTTCTCCAGGCCACTGCTCAGGGCAGAGGTCAAGCTGGACTTGTGCTGCTTTTTCTCACTGGAGACCTCTGACACCGCAGCACTTATGGGCTTCACTGGATGAGGACTAGGGAAAGCAAGAAAGACACACAGTTAATGACACACATGGCTGAGGGGAGGAAAGCAGTTTTATATGCCCTAGGTGGGGGAGGAGGCTGCACAGCTGTCATTACAGTCACACAGCAAGACCTCCCGTAATGAACTGCACTGAACGATCCTGGCTCCTAGGGCAGGGGTGACCAAAGTGCAGCCCACTGGCAGACAGCCCACAGGGCTCTCCAATGCAGCTTGTGACCTCCAAGATGAAAGCAGGACTCATGGAAACTACAGACTCTAGGACACAACGCTGCATCTTAATGCAAGGAAAACAAGCCCTGGCAGTTGGAACTCATGGTCTCCGCAGGCTGCTCAATGTGGCAGCATTGTGTGCTGGAAGCCGTGGTCTGGGGGTCACTGAAGCAATGGGAGCTTTGGTGCAAGTTAGGTGCAAAAATGGCGGGCTCCTGTCTGCTTGTACAGCTAAGGACTTTGTGGCAGAGTCTGGGTGCCCTTGGGACAGCCTAATTAACTGCCTACATTAATTACAGGACAGCTTTGGTTATCCAAACCCTCAATTACCCACACAGCAATTCTTTTTTTGTTTTTTTTAAACTACATTGCACCTGCTGGTATGGTACAACCACCTGTTCTCCTTCCAGCTTTGCTGCAAAGGTCTGTATGGGTCAGGGCGGTCTGGTTTTACACATGATATCAAAAATTGCCAATGCTTCTCTTATCCAAACAGCTTTTTGTCCTGTGCCTTGCACGGGTTTGCTTAAGTGAGGAGACACTGCGCTATGTTACTATTGCAAACTTCAATCTGCAAGTTGCCTATTGCACATTTTCCCCAGCTGTGAGACTACTCAAGTTTCACTAAGAAACTTCACTAAATACCATATTTTCTCACATACAACACCTGCCCAAATATAATATGTACCTTGTTTTTGAATGGCTGAATGAAGAAATAACGATTTTTCTACAGTTAGGGCTGCACAGAACAGGGATAGAGCCTAAAATCACTCTCTGTTTCTGCAAAACTAAAGCTGATTCCCTAGCTGCTGCAGAAAACTGGTTTCCATGGGTGGATTTATGATTCTAAAAAGAGTTAAGAGGCTGTGAAAGAGAGAAACC